AAGAAACGATACAGGTTTCGAGTGGACGTAACTTAACGAGCGTGAATGAGAGCAGCTCAAATTGATGCTGACAAAGGCGTCAGTCCTGTTCGTTTTAAATGCGAAGCATTTCTTAGCGAACTTCGGTGATTTTGAGCATATCTACCTATCTAGCCGCTTACGTTTAGGTGCTCTCGTGGTCACCCCCTTAACTTAGCGTGAACCAAAGTTAGCATGGGAGGGTAAGATGGTTTGACGAACATCACGCGCTGGTCAAGACATGGATAATCTCACTATCCAGTCGCGTACGTCGTCAAACACTTTCCGTCAGGCAGCGGCACATACCCATGCGCGGGTATGTGCTGCTGGTGTGCGGGTATGTGCCACAGGTGATTGACACTTAGTATCTATCTAGGAATGATGAGAACACACATGGGCAATTTTAACACGCAATCGTTAACAAATACCCGACATCGGTAGCGTCGACCCAACGATGGCATAGAATAAATTTCAGTGTTCAGAAAAACCTAAAATAGGCAACATTGACCCCCCGTTGAATGCAAATAATGAATTTCAGGGTCCCAGCTGGAATCGAACCCAAGCATTCTGCGTGGCAGTCAAGCATTTTAGCAGAGCTATGCCAGGTCTCGGAACTACTTTTCAAATAGACGCTAATCTTCGTAAAACATCAATAGTGGTTGCAGTGCTGCCTACCTAATTTTATAAAAGTTACATATGCACTTTTTTGATACAGCCGTCACGTCGGGTTAACGTCAATTGTGGTTAGGTGGCGTGCGCTCGAATTGATTCATGTAGCAGTATCCAAGGTCAGCATCTTCGCGAGCATCAGTGCTTCATATCAGCTTCTGGTGTTGCTAATACGCATGTTCCAGTTGGCATCGTTGCGAAAGTGCAAACAACTGGTTATATCAATATCTGAAACTCTTCAGCATATGTCTGTGCGTGCAACATTTGTACATATACTTAGAGTCATTTCATGACGTGTCGTTCAATAAAAAAAATGCAGCTAGGTCACCTTCACTCCACATGCTTCGAATAACGTCGATTCCCACGTACGTGGGTTCTGCCGAATTTTTTAACTCTGAGTTTCCCACGAAACTGTCGACAGATGCGTCCATATTTGTGCTCGGAGCAGTCCTTTTTCAACAATATGGACGCTTTGGTGTCTCGTAGGCTATGAGTCCCAAGCACTCCCCATAACTGAGAAAATGTACGCTCAAATATAAAAGAAGGCATTGGACATAACTATAGCAACTGCGGAAAGTTTAATTATTGCGTGATTGGAAGAGACAAAGAGACATTGCTATAGAAACTGATCACCGCCCATTATTGGCTATATCAAAGAAAAAAATTGGTGACATGCCACTGCATCTGCAGCGTCTGCTTCTTCGGCTGCTGAAATATGAATACGATTATCAGTATGTTCCAGGCAGGAAGTTGGTTTTTACTGATACCTTATCAAGAATGCCATCACAGGAATTCCCAGACAAGGGCACAACAGATGTTGCCGTTAATGCTGTGGGCATTCTTACTGGAAGTGTTAGCCCAGCCACCCTTTCCCGTGTGCAGGCAGCATCGGCCAGTGGCGCAACACTGGAAGACATGACCTCGAGTTTGCAGTCCTCCATTCCCGCAGAGGACAAGCCAAAATCTTGCACAGCAGAGCTTTCTGTCGTCAGTGGTATACTCCTAAAGGGAACCAAAGTTGTGATATCTACAAGTATGCTCACGGAGATACCGCAACGAGTGCACCAAGGGCACCTCAGTTTAGGAAAATGCAAAGCGAGAACCCGTAAATTGATGTACTGGCCAGAAATGGGAGCAGACATTGCCCACCTCATTGACAGGTGTGACGTCTGCAAGAAGTTTGCTTATCGACAACCTGACGAACCCATTCTCTAGCGCACCATCCCCGACTTGCCATGGGCTAGAGTTGGTGCAGATCTTTTTCAACATGTTGGAATGAAACTTTTTGTTGTATATAACACCTACTCTAATTCTCCTGAAGTCGACCCCTAAAGGAGACCTCAGCAACAGCCATCACTCAGAAGCAACGTCAGATATTTACAAGCCACGGGTTACCACCAGAACTTTGCACTGATGGTAGCCCTCAGCTTGCGTCAAAACAATTTAAAAATGTTGCGGCTTGTTATAACTTCAAGCATATCATTTCAAGTGCGCGTTTAACCAGATCCATTGAACTCACCGGCAAGAGCGTGCAAGCATTCAAGCAAATTTTCGTCAAGACGGAGGAAAGTGAGGGTTTTTATTTGTGCCTTCTGAACTATACAGAGTGTGCCCTCTTGAGGATGGCCGGTCACCAGAAGAACTGATGATGGGGCGTAGCCTCAGAACGCTGCTTCCAGATTTCTCAACATCAGCCCCAAGGCCCGTGTGAAAACATGTTCAAGCAGAGACCGCCAAAAGATCGCTGGCTCCACTGAATAAAGGGCACGTCGTCCGTGTTGTCAATAATGATAGATGGGAAATAGAAGCGCAACTCCCAGACCACATAGCGTTAAGGTCGTACACCATTCTGACAGAAGATGGCCGGGTGTTCCGCCGAAATAGGCAACATCTTCGCAAAAATTCAGAAGCCTTCTGTCTACTTTTCCTTTATAACTCGGACGACAGCGACAACACCTCCGATTCGGCTTCGAGTAGTCATACCGCACGAGACAGCCCCCCGGCAAGCTACACAAGACCAACCACCAGCAGACTCCCCAGGCTCATCTAACACGGATGATTTATGCCGACGATCCACCAGACCTCAAATTCCACCAATTCACTTGGCCTACACCCACGGATTCCAGCTGAGTAAAATGGCCTAGGAAAGTCAACTGTTATCAACTGGCGTTCACAATGCATTTTGTGTGTTTTGCCTTCAAAGAAACAGGGATGCAGCGGGAACTGGCATGCAGTGTTCTCTGTGTTTTCAGCACATTTTGTGTGTTTCACCTACAAAGAGAGGAGGATGGAACGGGCAGTCAACAGGACAACACTGTGCGCCATCTATAGCAACACCTAGCACCGCTGCACGCTGGCAGTGTGGCAGCTTGGGCTAGTTGGTATGGCATGACGATAGTTATAGCGCGAGAACAAAACGTCGGCACAGAGAAGAAGGTCCTTTGTGTCCTTCGTGTCCTTCGTGTACTTCGTCTCCTTCTTGCCTCTGTGTCGACATTTTGTTCTCGCGCTATAACTATCGTCATGTACGCTGGCGTTCAGCTTGTATCAATAAACCAGCCTTGTGGCCACAACATTGTGCAGACGCTCTCTTCAAGACGCTCGATACATATAGCTGTGCACATATTGTGCGCATCATAGTTCATACAGTCGGCAAAAGAGCTGGAAGTCACTCATAATAATATCTGGAGTTTTACGTGCCCAAACCACGATACCGTTACGAGGGAAACCATAGGAGGGGCTCCGGAAAATTTCACCTTCTAATGGTTTTTGACGTGCACTAAGATCGCACCGTACATGGGCCCATATCCATTAGTCCCTATGGAAGGTTTTTTCAGAAATAAAAAGGGTGCACAGCATGTGACATGCCTTCTTTGTTCTTATACCGAAACAAATTTTACTTTTTAGACAAGTATTTATAACTAACGGTCATTTGTCGTTCTGTTAGGGTGATTATCAATGTTACTCACGCGCACGCTTCGAATTAACAGAAATACCATGTTCTTTAGGAGGGTTAATAGTCGGCACAAGTCGAGCATTTTGTTGTCCTTGTTCCATTGTGGCTTTAAACTTTTATGAAATGTCAATTCGCCTTTCGAAAAAGAAACTAAAAACAAAGCATTTCACTCTATTTTGCGTTTTTTTTTTCATTTAGGAAGTGCACGTTTCTTTCAGCCGTGTTACTTCCTCTTGAAACGAGTTTTCGTCAAATGCGAACTTTGACCGTTTTATCATCATTCATCTCCTCTCCTCCATATCCTCCTCTCACTTCTCTCACCCGCTCATTCTGCACGCCAAGGATGGTTCAGGGAATTTTTAATTTGAACCGCTGATACAGCGACAGCCAAGTGACACCACCCCAGATTGGATAACTTGGAGCGCAATACCACGATTCTCATTCACACACAAAAAAAGGACTGCTGCTTGGCCGGCTTCTGCAAGACAGAGTTGCTTCTTAGGTTGTCTCACTCATGCGCAATTTTTTTTATTCTGGTTAGTGTGGCTCCCTTACAGTTTGCAGAACGCAACAAGGTCTAACTGTAAATCTTTTTTTTTTTCTTACTTCGGTAGTTACACATTGTGCCAGACATCGTGGGTGTTGCAGGCGCTTGATTACGCCAGCCAACACACTATCTGTGCGTGTAGGAGAAATGTCTAAAGGTGAAAAATAATCAAACTAAGCATATGAAAAGCACAGCTTTACCATATTTGAACGCTTTACCAATTTCACGTCTTAGCTGCCGCCTTTTTTTGTGAGCAGGATTATTTGCTGAATATGCTGCAGAAATATTGCTTTTAGTTTGCTCAACATTAGCCTTACAAATGTACGGTTCAGTTTATCCTGAACAAATTTAGACGACACGCTACTTTGACAAGGTTCTGTTTGTTGTAAACTAAATAGTAGTGCCTGTTCGAATGCACACAGGTGTGCCCGGACAGAAAGTAACAGAAAGACAGAGGGCAGGAAGGTTAGCTAGAAAAGCGTCTGTTATAAGCTACCTGCATACGCCGGCGAATATCGAAAGTGCTTTAATGTGCTCAAAAAAGCTTCCCATTTTATATAACGCTCGGAAAGCTATAAGACAAAAGTTTAGTCGTATAAGAAAAGGCGCTCTACAAAAAGTTTTGAATCCTGTGTGATGAACCAGGAGGAAACGGTAAAAAATAATGAACGGTTTACAGGTTTAGAAGTGCTGCTTTCGTATTCTGCTGAAGTGTTTTTCACGTAGAGATGGCGTGGTGGGGACTCAAGTCAGTGGTTTCCAAAAGTGATGAGAACAGCAACTGGAGATAACTTAAGCAGCCTGCAAGTCGAGCGCCATCACTTGGTTCTCCCACCGCAACAGACTGCGGAGTCGTTTCTCGGATTCAGTTTTCCGCTCTCGTTCAAGCGTGTGCGCGGATTCACGGCCCTAGCCATGAGCCCCCTGGGCATAACCCTCCTCCTCGGACTGCTGGGGGTGTCTACCGCGCAGTTCAGGTAAGGGCAAAATACTCGCATTCGCCGTGCACTTCAGTCAGCAGCGAGAAACGCATACGAAGTTAGTATCAATAAACAAGAGTGCTGAGCACCCAAATTAATTTGAGATCAACTGCGAGGGCATGTCTTTTCGCTTGAGACAAAGAGTAGTAGTTGAGCTGGGTAGATCTTGTAATGCTTTCCACTGAGCAGCGATGCTTAAACGTCGCAATATTGACGCAAGGTTTGACGTTAAATTAGAGAATGTTCAAGGTATAGATAGCGTTCGGCAAATTTAATACAGAGATCATTGAAAAACAATAATTTCTGCAGCCTTACGTACCAATACGAAGGCGCCAATAAGAATAATTACTAGGTACTAAATCGTGGTGGGATACGAATAGTTTAAACTACCTTGGGCTTTTTGCTAGCACTACACAGCATTTCACCTGCTTCGAAATGCGATTGTCGCGGCCGGAATCGAGGGGTGATTTGCTTTAATTAGGAATAAGTCTTTGCGGTGAACTCACTTCAGCTGATGTCCTGATGACAACGACCCTGATTGATGTTAAAGATTATTATAATTACATGCACATTTCATTTGATTGAGTACCTCACGAGGCTTCCGTTTTTAGCACGGGCATTAAGAGAAGGAGTGAGTCAAAGTAATATTTCACGTATACTATAGTGCGAATAAATAAAAGTGAACCCTACATTTTCAGCGTGAATGACATTACAGCAATACTATACAGACATGATAGTTCATAAAAAGTGAATTTCTGAGACACAGTGTGTAGACAAGGGCTTGTTTGGAGGACGTAAAAAGAATGACAAAATATACCTAAAGCTTGGTACTCTATAAAGGAAAGAAAAAACAACGGGCGGACTCTGCGCAGACTTTTAGACAAAATGTTTTACTTTCAAGTTTGTTTACAGTATAAATGAAGCAAAAACAAAAAGAGAAAAAACCTTAGCAATGTATCATCCAAATTTGCCGGATAAAATACCACTCATAAATGTTGATTATACGGCAGTACACTGGGGGGACTGTTGCGTGCGCAAAGGTTCATGTAATATCTATATTTCAGTTATATCGTGTAATATGTCTGGTGGTGGTGATGCACCGAACCTCTGTAGTTGGTTGCTCCGAGGCAATCTTCGCTTTTGTCAACTGTAGTGGGACACATCATTCAATCTTTTACGAATGGGAAACAGAAACATCGATGGCACTCTGATTTACATTGGTCAACGGGAACGGTATTTAAAGGTTTCTCAGACTATCTTGCACAGTTTATTGAAAGCCGTCTTGGCCGGTATACAGGTATGCAGAACATGATATGCTGATATCACACGTACCTTTTTACAAAGGTGTATGTGGGCTGAAAGATTAGCTAGTATGCTCATAATTTCAGCACACCTAACCCACGCATCTATTTCTTTCAGTCGAAACAAACACATTTTTCCGATTGAACTCTGACAGTGTACTTACAATGCAAGCAAAAAAAAAACGCATGATTATAAAGCTTAAATCATTTTCTACATATTTATATATAATTGCTTCAGTAGCTTCTCTGGAAGTGAACTACTTGATTCCGTCTCAATAATAACAAGCCAATAATAACAAGACGGGGATTCTCCGAGTTTAAGCAGGGCTTCTCCGAAGTGCCGTTTAAACTAGGAGAAACCCCTTGAGCTTCACAGTTAAAAAAAAAGCCGACTGCACAGAGAACTAGTAGTTTAACATAAGGGACGACCAATGCAGAAATAAAAATAACACACACACACACAGCAATATGTATCGAGAGACACGAGAAGGGCCGCGATGGTAATCAGGCCCACGTGCGGTTCACTACTCAACAGGATGGGAAACGGGACAGCGTACAAAAAGAAGAGGAGATAACGTGAAGAGCTCTAGTTCATCTGAGAGTGCACATTAGAGGGACCGAGAACTGGCGTTATTTTGAGACAGTTTTTGCTGGCGTGACAGAAAGCTTACCCTTCGTAGCGTATGTGGCTGCAGTATTCAATTCCAAAAGCATGTAGTCATTTTATGAGCAGTATTTTTCTATCTGAAAGGCTCTGAACACGAATAAGTCATTCTACCCGGAAACGCTGAGAATTCATAGCGTTGCCGGTAGCATTTCTGGCAACTTGTGCATGCTGTCGTTGTTCTGCTGTTGCAGGAGTTTCTGTATCTATGCTTAACCACGTTTATTTTAAACTTTACAACTATTTTTGAAAATAACAAGCCGTTACAATGAGGTGATGTGACTTTATACAGCATCTTTGTATTTGTACCGCAATGCATGCGCCTGCGCTCGACCTTCTTGGGCCTGTATTGTGGATGGCCTGTCCCGTCAACGTTACTCTCATGACTCACGAGCCAAGCCATGTCACCGAAAACGTTACTGCGCATATGCGCAGCCATGTCGTCTAGCACTGCACGTCATTTCTGAGGCAAATTGTAGATATAAAAACCATGTCAAAACCAAATCTTAGCGGCCCAGAAACAGCGTGCACGGTTTCATGAGCACGCAGAAAAGTTGCTCAAGAAGCACTGACGAGCATGGGTTGATTACGTCATGCGAAGGCAGCGCCACAATAATGCGTACGGCTAACGCAGACCTCTATGTACATTTTTATGAAGTAATTTCTGTTATTATATGGAAGCAAACAATATTTCAATACTAACAGGAAAATTGTTCAAGGCGTACACTAGTTTACGGTCACAAAACAGGGCATATTTGCAGCTTAAGGCGCGAAAACGACACGGACGAAGAGAGACAGTACACACACACGGAGGCGCTCCGTGTGTGTGTACTGTCTCTCTTCGTCCGTGTCGTTTTCGCGCCTTAAGCTGCAAATATGTTAAACCAACAAGCCCAGTCTGCTATTCTTACTACATATAAAACAGGGCACATAGGATAATTGGTTTTTTTTGTTACCAGGTGGTGCCACATGCTATTTTCACAATTTTCAATGCATAAAAAATTGGCAGGCTCCATGTACAGCGGGAATCGATTATATGTGAAGCACGAATGAAAAAGGTTGATAAGTCACGTTAAAATTAGCACAATGTTACTAGGCGAACGCACATTATGTCGTACATGGCTTCCATGTCATGTTTATCATGTTTGTACGTGCCATTTACCTTCGTCGTCCATCTAAGTCACATAATACCAAAATTGGTATATGTGGAACTAGCGAAACAGCCGCGACACGCTATGAACGTACCATGTTGCCATGTTTAACACGGCATGCATACCATGGCTATTAAGTTGTAACGTGTCATTTACCTTCGTCGTCCATTCACATACCGTCATACCAAATTTGGTGTAAGTGAAGCTAGTAAAACTGCCGCAAGCGCATCGTGAGTATCGCATCTAGTCATGTTGTTACATGACACACATGTCATGATTATCATGTTAACTTGAACGTGTCATTTGCCTTCGTCGTTGATTCACGTCACGTAATACCAAATTTGGTATATGTTAAGCTAACGGAACATTAGCTTGAAATAATCCTTTGCTACATGAATAAACAAGCAGGTCACGGTCCCAGTGCATTCTATGGACCTTGAAACACAGCATACCAGTATTATGGAGATGAATATAAACATGCTTTTTTTTTCTTTTTTGCCTTTGTTCAGCATTTCTTTGTGGAGAAACAAGACAGACTTTGAACCGAGACGCCGAACGTGGTTGGACGCGGCTGCTGTGATTCCGGAAGAATTGGAAAACGAAAAGAACGTGAGTACTTTAGGTGAAACAGGATGGTAAGATGTAAGCAAAATAACAAAAATAACAATTGACATATAAGACTCATGCACAAAATAGTGGACGAAATGCATATCGAACCCACCTATAACAAAACTGAATCTCACAATATATCGCTTATAGTAAAGAGAAGCTGCTCAGCTGCAGAACCGCCCACTTTTTTGTTTTCCATGGTGAAATAACCCGCTTACGGCCATGCCCGAATGCCGTATTCGGTGTCCTTGCAGAAAGGCAGTGTGCACAAAATTTTTGAAAAAAAAGAAGAAAATGAGAGATTCAAGCTGTTGAACCACCGCCCACAACCCCACGTACGCTTTTGGATTTGCGGTAGGCTGCGGCAAAGATATTTTTTTGAAATTCACCATGGCACGGGAGAGGAGGAAGCTTCTGTTAAAACAGAAAATATAAGTTAAATATTCAAAATTCGATAAGTCTCAGCATCTAAAGGTTCAAACATTGGCTTTATGGGGCTTGTCATGGTCGCCCGAAAGCATAAAAAATTTCAGAAATGTCTGAAAAATTGGCAGATTTCTCACTCACTGTCACTGATGTGTGTTGCAGGTCCCATCCGATATCATAATAATCTCGCATCCACCTGTTATCCCCCTTTTTAGCTTTTTTGTGTAACCCGTTTATAGCATTTTATAGTTATAACAATAAAATTTTTGTGGCGCTTGAATATTGTTATCATTAAAAGTTTCTGTTGTACGAATCGTGTAACATACTACGCAAACGCATAAGTCAAGTTTTTACATGAAAACAGGGAACTAATCTTCTTAATTTGTTGCTACATAACTTGTGGTTTTAGTGTATTTGTATGAATAATTCTTGACTACAAAATGAAAAGGAACCGGCCAAGATCACTTACCAATAATAATAACCTAATACGTACTGATGACCTGTCGCGGTGGCTTAGTGGTTAAGGGGTTGGAATGCCTTGCTCAATATTGCCTTGCTCAATGCCTTGCTCAATATTGCGGCAACAATCACGGCTATGGCATCGACATATAAGGGTGAAATAAGAACCACCTTCGTAAAACCAGGTGGTTTTAAATAACCCCAGGTGGTCAAATGAAAGGTGCGAACCCATTAAAACTCCAAATTTTGATGCGTTAATCAAAAAAGCGTTCGAATAAAGTAGGCAAATCAATAACTTTATATCTACATGGCAATGAGCTAAAAGTCTCATCTGGTATATGGAATAAAAAATATCTCGGCACAATAATTAATTTATTTACGCCCCCTACTTCTCATAGATAATCCCCTCCTAGATAATTATTGTCAAACCTGTTTTCAAACGCGAAGTGAATGCGGGAAAAGTTGGTTCAAATGGACTATTTTCCCCCAGCTGCATTATTACGGACTCATCGGCCTTGGAACGCCCCCGCAATCATTCAAGGTTATCTTTGACACCGGTTCTGCGAATCTTTGGGTACCATCGGTCAAATGTCCCGATACTGAAGACGGCTGCAGTAAGTAGTTCTCCGTCTCCAGAGTGGTAAATAATGGGTGAACGATTTACTGAAACTGCCACCTTGTATTCGCGAAATCAATTCTCGTAGTGTACTCGTCACAATTTCGTAACACACGGTGAGGCAATACGCGGTCATGTTTGCAAGAGTGCTTCCTTTTCTCTTTCCATTGCGGTTGACTGCGTATCATGTCGTCCCTAAAATACAGCTCTTCGAAGCTAGATGAATGAGATTCACACGCAGGCCAGCAGGCAGGCAACAAGGGAAGCAGTGCAGGCATGCATGCCATGCAGGCAATAGAGAGAGAGAGAGATAACTCTTTATTGAAAGGCAGATAATTTCGCTGGTGTGTGCAAATCACTGACTTGCTACTCTGCGGGGGATTGGGGACTGAAAGAGAGAAAAAGAAGTGAAAAATAGAGAAGTAAGGTAGGCAAGACAGTTACGCAGGCAGGGAGGATTTCCGATACGTGTGCACTGTTTCACTTATGATGGTTCCTATCCACAATTCATAACGATGACAAAACACGCAGAAAGGTTGTAATTTAATCGATCGTATAATTGCGTTAAATAAATCACTACCCAAAAATAAGCGAAATTTGGAGACAGCTTGCTTTATAGGCCAGATATAGTGGAGATACATCCTGCTATTAGTTCATTCAAATTTTCAAATCGTGCTATTACACAGACGTCCACAGGTTCTTGCTTCACCAAACCAGAGACGTATTTACACTACAGCGTAGAACTCTAACTTAATACAAGGGCAATGAATCTGAAAAATAATTGATTCACTTTTTTTCATCCCCTATAGAGGACAAAAAGAAGTATGACAGCTCCAAGTCAAGCACTTACAAAGCAGACGGCCGCAAGTTCCGCATCGAATATGGAAGCGGCATTGTCGAGGGAATCTACAGCACCGATGTTCTAACCATTGGAAATGGCAAGGTGAACCCGCAGACGTTCGCCGAGGCCACAAAGGCCCAAGGTTCTATCTTTAAAGCGGCTAAGTTTGATGGACTTTTGGGTCTCGGTTACCCAGCTCTCGCCGAAGACAACGTCGTGCCAGTGTTTGACAACATGATGAAGCAGAACCTTCTACCCAAGCCGGTATTCTCGGTCTATCTCAACCGAGACCCCAAGGCCACCCCTGGAGGAGAAATCTATTTTGGTGGAATCAACTCCAACCGCTATACGGGAAGCATCACCTACACAAGCGTCACTAAGAAGAGTTACTGGCAGTTCAAAATGCAAGGGTACGTGTATTTTAATCTCAATTAAGTTCACAGATTCGATCAATATTACGCACAGAGAACGGGTTAATTGCTTCAGATTAGCCCCATCACCCTCATTTTCTATCTTGAGTACCAAGGGTTTTACTCTCTAGCACCAGTTTGATAAGCTTTCTATAGGACACAATTTCATTGTCGCTAAAACGTGTCCTTCTTCCCCCACAGATAGTATGACCAGAGGTTCCCAAGCAATGCTGCGTGACTGACCAGGCAGAATATAATACACAGGCGTGATCGATACGAATTATTGCTACAATTTGATGCTTTTGTTATACAACGCTTTCCTCGGCTTTTGGTAAAGTCCAAAAATGTTGCCGAAATTCGGAGAGTTAAAATGCGTTTTATCGCACAAAGGCATCTGCGAGGCTCTCTAATATGCACTGCTACTTTTGTTTAAATTGATGATGATTACTTTCGGGCAGCACAAGGTATTTATTATTGTTGCACTGAGCAAGCTCTGTGCTGATTTAAAGGGGCCCTCCAACACTATTTAACACCCAATTTTTTATTTATGGGTTGTGTAGGCTGACGTACAGACGCATTAATGCAGCAGGAACGGCAGTTGTAACAGCGTGCAGTCTTAAGTTATTCGATTCAGAAAAATTCAAAATACAAGAAAAAATTGCTACCATCAACTTAACTTTCGCGGGGTCACCTGACCACATTTCAGTCATCCGATGACGTCGGGTGACTCCCCCAACGAAACGAGCTGAGAGGGCCCACATAGAGGAACCTCGCACACCAGTGTTGCTTGTTCTTTCCAACGTAACGATGACCTCGTTGCCACGGTAAGAAACGCGTGCCTGACACTTCACTT